ACATCATAAACTAATTCCCACAGAGGTAACTACTACTATGATCCACAAAAAACCTACTCTACCATAACTGGGGTCCGTGCCGCTTTTATTTTTGTCAGTGCTGTACCCAAAGTTATTGGCCGTTACATTTATCACAATTGGGCTATTTTTTTTCAATTTATTTATTTCAAGTACAACCACTAAATGAAGCATTTGAATTGAATGAGATTCCTCTTCTTTCAGGCACTTGCGTTCTGCGTTCTCATTCTTCACCCTTTTTTTCTTTCCCTTTTAATTGTGGGTGGGTGGGGATTTTGCAAATTGCCTTCCTTCTTGAGCTTCAGACCTTCCTGTGAGTTATTATTACTATGAAAGATGTGCCACTCTAACTTCAGGATTGTATTTCCAGAGATGGAAATCAAGCAAGCTATCCTTAACACTGAGAATAAGAAAGCTCCAGGATGTGATGCCATTTTCTAGTCTAGCTTCAAAGAAAATTGGAGTCTTTAGCAGGTGTTTTAATAATTTTATGAAAAAAATAACAGCGAAACCCAACTACTAGAAATGTAAAGATGACAATTATCTTCTGAAAATTCGGCTTGACAAGAAGTTGAAGTCTTTTACCAATGGTTCAAGCGAGGAGGAAAGCCCTATTGGCGAATTTTGAATCCCCTTTGGCAACCGGAACTCAACTGAAGTGATTTAATTTACAGAAACTCCACAACTTTTATAGTTCAAAGAAAAACCAGAAGCTAAATATAAATAAGCCATCGCAGAAAAGTTCCGAAAGAAGAAAACAGACCATGAATTCCAAGTGAGGCAAGTTTTTTTTTTAATTTTTTCTGTAAACATACCGCTTGGAGGGCTTGGGTAGGGTTTCGTTGATCGATGAATTGCCGAGCCAATGTGAGCAAGTCGCGAACAGAATCGCCTTCGCCTGCTCTATTTGACGCAAATTCAGTCTCCATCATGTCCGACTTCGAACAATCCATAGTATCATCGGCAAATTTAACTTGAGAAATCCAGGGCACAGTTCCTTTTTGATTGATTATCGGTTTTGTAATGGAAATATGCTTCCAAATCACAGCATCGCTAGATGGTTCTAGCAGGTTCTATAAGCACCCCCAGGGCTCTCTCGCTCTCTCGCGCGCGTACTGGATATGTCGTGGCGGAACGGCATTTGGGATTTTATTTATATCATAATTCGCAAAAGTATTTCTAACAATTGGGAAAGCACTGTTTTTTATTTACTCTTTTTGTAATTAAAATAGAAAATAAATTGAGCAGAAATTAAATATGAGCTCATGTAATATAATTAATTAATATCAGATCCATTTCAAGTATATATTTATTGAATTAAACATTTATATCATGTGTTTGATAAATTAAATACTGTAATTAGCATTTGAAAACAATGATTTATAATAATCGATAACCTAACCCGAAGCACTAATCCCAACATAGTGGGAAACAAACAGAAGTTGGGCGCGCGCAGGCGCACACCCCACCGCCCATGCACAAATTTCTTATCTTCTGCCCTATGCGCTGCTCTTCGGAAGGTTAGAGACCCGCAAAGCTTCCACAGCATTTTCCATGGTGGATCCGCCTCTTTGCGCTCCGGGGATGTTTATTTTCGTGACAGGTGTCTCTACACATCTGCTTGATTAGCGTTAAACCACAATACTAATGCCATAGTCCCGACGGGAAATGTTCTGAATTAGGAAACGATAATGAATTGTAGTGTATAAATCCGTTTCCCCTTGCTGTGGGGTTGATGGAAGATGTAACTGAGAATGTTCTTGGAATTACAATTGAAAAACACAGACAATGCGCTTCCGAGATGGGGCTCGGAATGTATAAAACTAGGGCAAATGTGGCCAGTATTTGGGAATGAAAGAAATTGGGGGATTAAAAGGGGGAAGCATGCAGGGCATGAAAGTGTAAGACCACATGCGAGGGCAGATTCTCGGAAATGCTAGGAATTTTGCACATTCAACAATTGGTCTCTGGAAAGGCAGATCTGGAATGCAATTGTTCCTAATATTTAATATACCTCTTCCTATCAAAATCCGACACAGAGGCCCAACAACTGTGAAATAATTGTCCGACAAAGATAGATTTACCAGATTTCCAAGCGCACAAATGACTTCCGGCACCATACCATACAGTAGATTTCCTGCGAAATTCAACTGCTCCACGTTCTTTAGGCAACCCAGGGAAAAGGGCAGTGGTCCTGTTAGTCGATTGCTGCCGGCATCAAACACGATTGCTTCGTCAAGTGATCCTAACTCATAAGGCAGACACCCTGATAGTGAGTTGTTTAAGAGAAGAACCTCAGTCAGAGATGACAAAGCTTTTACTATGCCACCGGGAATTGGACCACTGAATTTATTGTTGGCTAATGTGAGGTAGAGAATATGGGTGGTGGAAAGACTGTCTGGGAGACTCTGCATGAAATTGTTGTTGTTGATGAGGAGAAAATCAAGGTCCTGGACGAAGACTTGAGGTGGGATTGACCCAGTAAAGAAATTGAACCTAAGGTCTAAGAAGGTGAGGCTGTTTAGACCAACAACAGCAGCGGGAAAAGGACCAGACAATCGGTTGTTGCTCACATCAAGCTCGTATAGGTAAGGGAGCCTGGTAATGTTTGTGGAGATGGTGCCTGCAAAATTGTTGGAATTGGCATGAAAAACAGCAATGTCAGGGAGCTGATCGAGGAAGCCATCGAGGGATGGTGCACTGAGTTGGAAGCCATTGAAGTCAATAGACGCGACCGCCGTGGCAGACTTGTTGTCCGGTGGGTTGTCACAGTAAAAGCCTTTGTATTTGCATATATCCGATCCAACCCATGTTTTAGTGATTCCTAGAGGGTCCGAGGTGATAACTGACTTGAACTTTTGAATCACAGGGTACACCACTGAAAGCCTCAGGTCTTCAAATATCAAAACCTCTGCTTCAACAGGCAAAAGAGATGATGGCTGAGGAGTTATCGCTTGCTTACAGTGAGACCAGCCGTGATCACAGCCTTCTACTTTGAAATCTTGCGTTTTGCTGTCGCTACTGTTGGCTATGGCGTGGACAACCAAAGAAGAAAGCAGGTTGAAGAACAGAAACAGCAAAACTCTGCCAGGTATTTTACTCATTCTTATCAACCCAACAAATTGCTTGCTCTCCAGTTATTCAGAACTCTATAAGCATAGAAGTGAAAATCAGACCAAGTTTCATAAACACAGCCTGTTTATATAAGAAACTAAAAGTTGCCAAAGGAAGAGGGAATGCTGTAAACCTCATTAGGTTCAAGCAGAGCAGGTATGGGTCTGCAAATTAGTAGGCACAAAACCAAAAGCTAAAAAAAAAAGATAGGTTACAGTACAAACGAAAGATCCCAACTTTACAACGAATGGGTCCAATACATGAAGTCCCAACCAACACTGAAAACAGAAGCCAAGTGGTAATGATATAAAAAACTATAATGAAGCGTGGGAATGCACAAAGACCACCATCCCAATAGACGCTCATCAGATTGAAGATATGACATCACAACTTCATCTTCTAATCTGCCTTCTTACATATTCATCTGCCTCTTTAGTTCTATAAAGTGAACTCGTACGGGTCTGATTAATTAATAGTATTTAATTTGGCATTTGGACCATGATTTGTTAAATCATTATATTTATAAGATCATACATTATCCTCTGAGTTGTAAAGAACAGCAGTCTTGTATTGAAGGATCGGGATAGGTGCTACGGAAGTCAACTATTTTTCTTTATTTTGAAGTCACTTTTCTGCCCATTGGATTCCATTATCATAAGATGATAAATATGATTGCGATATTTGGATACAGCTGGGCATCCGACTTAGTGGATCAAGAACTCATTGTCTTGATACACACTAAAAACCAGCTCCTTTATTGTATTCTTTTTGAAAAGGCATAGGCATGAGTGACGATTTAATTACATCCATAATGAAGACTGAATTTTGTCAATTGCAATGTGATTGATGAACCAATCATAGCCATTAAAGATCTATGCAAAACTTGGCCTTCCCATGATCAATAAGGAAGATGATATGGATTATAACACTTCAATAAGGAAGATGATAGGGATTATAACACTTTAAGTGGCTTCACGTAGATTTTCTCTTTTTTTGGACTTCTTTCTAGCTTTCTCTTGAGAGAGTATACACTCTTATAAAAAATATTTCGTTCTCTTCTTTAACTGATGTGAGATCTCATAATCCATCCCCTTTGGAGACCTAACGTCCTTCCGGCCTTCCTCTTTCTAACTAATGTAGGATCTCATAATCTACTCCCTTTGGAGGCCCAACGTCCTCACTGACACACCGCTCAATGTCTAACTTTGATACTATTTGTAACAGCCTAAGCTCATCGCTAGTAGATATTGTCCTTTTTGGCTTTTACTCCTCGGCTTCCCCTCAAGATTTTAAAATGCATTCACTGAGAAGAGGTTTCCATACCCTTATAAGTAATACTTTGTCCTCTTTGAGTTTTCCTTCAAGGCTTCCCCTCAAAGTTTAAAGTTTTAAAATTCATTCACTAAGGAGAAGTTTCTACACCCTTATAAGTAACACTTTGTTCTCATCTCCAACCAACCTAAGGTCAACAAACATGTAATGTCAACAATGATCCATGATTGATGGCAGATAAGGCCACAGAGAATTAAAAGGATCATGGATAATTCCCTCGCCCCATATGGGGTTTGGGCCAACACCAATGAGCCCAAAGAAAGTGAACCTCAGGGATGTGAATAACTCAAACCACACGTCGGCAGTGCAGAGGGCGGACACAGAATCTCTGCCTTTCTGTATTCAGATCTGACCATCGAACTTCTCTGCAAACGACAATCCAAAAACCCCATTGGATTGAAACGGGAAATTTTACGAAGCAGAATAAAAATTGGGTGGGAATGGGAATTGGGAAGGAATAAAGGTGGGATTTTTGTCTGTTGTTTATACATATAATAAAATAAATCCACCATGCAATCCAATATGATAGAAAAAAAGAAAAAAATGGTGAAGGAATAATAATATTGGAGAGCATAAGAAAGTTTATAAAAGAGAACAAAAGGCCCACCAGTAGCGTGACTCAACACCCACCAAATCCCACCGTCCCATGCTTTTCCTCTCTCCCAATCCCACACCCTTCAAATTTCCAAATCCCAAGAACACAAAAACCTTCATAAGAGAGGGGACACACAGAGAAGAGGAAAACACCAAAGGGGGCGTTCCTAATTTTCTTTAGACAGCACAGCACAGCGCCGCGCAGCGCACCTACTAATCTTCTTGGAGACGGTGCTCAAGCAGAAGCGTTGACCATTGGTTCCCTATAATTTTATTTATATAATATTGATGGAGATCTGTGGGCGCTGGATGAGTTGACTATTATGACGATTCCAGAACAAGCGTTGCAGGTGTTTCGGTGGAGTGGGCGTGATTGTGATCGTTTTCGTAAGTTACAATCAGCATTGTTGGATCGTCTAAGGCACGTTCTACGTGTTTCCGTGCTGGACAGCCTCTGAGACTGCTACATTTGTAATATCCCCTGTTCATTTACCAAAATAACCTTCGTCAGTCCTCCCTTCTACTCCACCCAAACCCATTCCCCCCACTTTTAATTTATTTGCTTTTTGACATTATAAAAAAGGAAAACAAATCATACACTATACTCTTTTCTCGAATATATTATTATGCTTGGGAAACAACGGACTACAAAGGTCAACGAGTTGTTATTTTCTGCCCCACTAAATGACCGAGTTCTTAGAACGAGTTAACTTCACCACAAACTCAACAGACGGAGGAGGATCCGTAGTAAAAGTTACAGACCTTGGATGGGGAGAGCCTTTAATGGGTTTTTGGCCATACTTTCTCCAGGAGTAATCGTCCGGTGGGATATCCGCAAGTTTGGAGCTCACCGCGGGAACTCTGATGACTCTTTTTATCCTGTTTTTCCTGCTAAACCAAGCAAATTTCACAATTCAATGACTAAAACCCAATTTAGAAAATTTTGTATGGATTTTTTTTACTATCTGTTGCAAGGACCAACCTCTTCTTGGAACAGTGACACCGACCGGAGGATGAGGCACACTTCATGGCGGAATCGTCCATAGAATTGCATTTTCTCTTTAGCGAGGAAGTTGAAAGTGGGGGCTTTCCGGCGGAAGAGACCTGGGACATGTGGGTGAACTGGAACCCAGATGACATAGATGGCTGTAAGCTTTCGGTGTCTCCGGTTAGCGATGAAATATAGGAATTTGCAGCGGAAATCGGGGGCGAGGCTACGAAGTTGATGGTGGTAGTCGGATCTTTTCTATCTACAGACCCATTTTTTAGTACCACCGACGAAGTATTTTGCTGTGCTTGGAAAGTATTCGGTGGATGAGAAGGCTGATGGGGGTTGTTGTGAGGCAGAGGAGGCAAACGCACCACAGAGGAGGGCGTGGGGCAATAAACCTTAAAAGCAGAGACTGATTCCTGTTTCTTTACTTGAACCTGAGGGGCTGATGACGAACTCGGATCTTGGTGCTGCAACGGCTTGACCTTGGGTGGAGGAGGCGGCGGGGGAGTATGAAGAACCGGCGCCCTTCTGAAGCGGGCGTGACCGGTTCTATTCCGATCGAGCAAAGAAATGACCTTCTTGAAATTGTTGACGACGGAATCGGCGACTGCATCGTATGGAGCGACAGCATTGGGAGTAGTGGAGGTGGAAGAATCGTGTTCGGAGTGATGTTGATTAGGGGTATGGGACATCAATCGGAGGAAATTCTGGACGCTCTGAATCCCAGCAGAAGCGGCTTCTTGAACAGCGGAAACAGCGGCATTTTCTTCCAACTTGGGCGTGAAATTAGTAGCGGTGGTAGCATCCCCAAACCCCACCATAAGCTCCACGGCCATGTTATTGTCGAGGAGGAGCATATGAAATGAAAGCAGAGGAGGAAGGAGAAGAGTATTTATACTGAGAGAGAAAAAAAAAACGTGAAATTGTTAGAAAAGAGAGAAGGAGAGGGAGGGGATTGGGAAGAAGAAAGTGGTGAGAGAGAAGAGGAAAAAGATGATAAAAGAATTGTGGGGAAGGAAAGGATTGGAGTCAAACTGATGCCCTCACTATGCAAGGCATCGGGCAACTGACCGGTTTGATTCTGGTCGGTCTGCCGTCAAACACTCCAACCAATTAGAAGGCTCCACGTAAGAGAAAGTGTCAGTACATTTGACTCTTCTGTTTAGGAAAGGCCCATTTACAGGGTGGGTTTCAAATTTGAGAGAGAGAGAGAGAGAGGGAGAGGTCAAAGGGGTGAGAATAGCCGTTGGATTAAGGAGCGGGTAAAATCAGGAAGAGAGAGAGAGAGGAGAAAAGGACAAGATATTATTAGTTGGAGACAGTGGGATAGAGTTGACCTTTAATAGCTTTTAATGCAAAAGTCATTGAATGTTGGTGGGTCCCAGACGGTTTTCCTATCTTTTTTACCGGATACCGGAAGTAGTTTCCACCCACAAGTCACCTTGGATTCCTTTCTTTCTTCAAACTAATTCAATTTTCAATCTGATTGGGCTTTTTCGCTTTTCCGGGCCCAACCCGCAAGGTCTTCTCGAGGCGAGGAGACCAACGTTCAAAGCATCAGAATTTTTAAAAACCTTTTTCTTTTTCTTTTTCCCTAAAAGATTTCATTTCCTTCAAGGAGGAGAAAAGGAAGCAAATACATTTTATTTTATTTTATTTTATTTAATTTAATTTCTTGAAATTTTAGAATCTGCTTTTGGGTTTGACAAACATTGGACATTTCTTTCCATATGTCGTGGGTTGGAGTAGTGTACTGTTTTTGAGTGAATTAGATTCCAAGTTTTCTTTTTTAATGTTTGGATAAACCCAAACAAACAAGAATTTGAGATTTAGAATTTAGTTTAATTCAGGCAACCAAACGGAGTGAGAGCCAGATTGGGCAGAAATTTGAAGATTCCATTAATATAATTAACCAAGTTTCCAAATTCCATTTGTAATACGAAAATCGAGGCCAATTTGAGACTAAATTGTTGACTTTCTTTTGGTAATCGAGGAACCCTTTAAATTGAACTTAAAAACACGTATTATGAAATGCCCTTCTTCATTTTATTATGAAACAAAAGTCACAAAATCGTAATTGACGTTTCCAAAACACGAGGGACAAATGGTTTGAAAATATTTGAAATTGAATTAATTTGGCTGTAAAAGAGGAAATATTCAGACACCCATTTAGATTGAATTCTGGAAAAGCCTTGGGACCAATGACCCCAATTTGGTGGTCCATTCACATATTCAGCATTTACTGTACACCCAAATGTAACGCCAAATATAGGTATAAAGTAACCAATTTATTTTATTCAAATCCTAGGTCTTTAATAAGGTATAGGCTAACAAAATATACACCATTTATTTTCTTGGTATTATTAAAGCTTCCATTTTTTTTCCCTTTTTTTCTTTACTTTATGATAAGTAACTTAGGCGCAACCAGAAGATAAGCTGCAAATTTGGTTCATATAGTGATATGTGTCATGGGAAATTAGGCATATGCACTAAGCCCGTTAGCTACAAATGAAGTAGTGCTACTTCTTCATTTCATTGTTGGAATGCAAGACGGCAAGATCAGCTTTGTTCTTGGCTCACATTTGAACTTCCACATTTCCATCATTCATATTAGCTCTATAATTCAACTTCCCTTTCCTATATGACCAGATTTTTGGAGATGAATAACTACCCTTGGAAATAAACTCTTCCATTACTACTTTAGTTTGCAAATATTAATCAGTTGTTGTTTGACCAGGGTATGTCCATTTTCTAATACATACCTATTCAAAATCAAATATAAATCATTTTTTGAGAATTGGAAACAACCTATCCTTTATGGAGTTAACCAGAGTTTTCCATTCTCCTAAATAAATAAAGTTGGTCTAACCAACCAGACGAGTAGGGGACTACAAAAGGCAAGCCCTATGAGGAGAAAAAAAATGCCTCCTTCCCTAAGGCTAGTTCGATCTTGCGTTGAATTTTAGGGTCCATCCTTCTATCCCTCTCGAGTTCGATTGACATCAGACTCATTCTGTCTTATTCTTATCGTCGATATCATTTTTTCTTCTTAAATTTGTATCTAAGTGTAATAACTTAAACTCACTCCTAACAGATATTGTCCTCTTAAATTTGTATCAAGGTTTCAAAAGCGAGGGATTGGAAAAGGCAAGGCAAGTGGCGGTGCATGTGATGCGACAAGTGGGCAGAAGAATCAGAGAAAGCCCAAATCAAAACGCCTGTTTTGTAGATAAAGAGATAGCGTGTTTGTGGCCTCTCAGCTCACCCACCAACTTGGGCGATCACTGGATATTATTATTGTTAGTATTGTATGGGCCGCAAGCCCATGATTCTATGTCTTCTTCTTCTTCCTCCTCCACATTCTAATCAACCTTTGGGATTGGGAAGAAGGACATGTTTGTCCCAACCAAATATCAATAATAAAATAATAATAGTAATCTGATAAGGACATTTTTGCTATATTGGAAAATATAAAATAAAACTATTTCGATACGATATTAATTAAAAAGATAAAAAGTATGTGGTTGTATTGATGTCCCGCAAAAGATATTAAAAATAAAGGCACAAATGTCTTAATCCTGAGTGGAATCTCGACGACCATATGGAAAAGCACAATAATTTGATTATTAATTAAATACGATTAGGTATGGGAGAATATTTTTAAGTGAGGGAGTAAATTACAGAAATGGGGTAAACAGGAAGATGGGAATGGTCAACAGGCAGGGGCAAGAGCAGTAATAATATTATGGCGTAATAGCCTCAATTTCCACCTACCAATAGTAATGCAGCAAGCGGGGCCCACTAGCTTTCCGTCTCAATGTAAACCATTCGATCTCATCATCACGTGGCCATTCCTGAACCGCTCGAATCCAATTTATACGCTTCTATTATTTACTTTATTCTTTATTTTAATTCCTTTCCAAATTATTACACATTGATAATCCCACTTTTATTTATTTTTTATTTTTATTTTTTAAGTTAATTTCACTATAGATTTAAAAATTTGAAAAGTCTTCAACAATGACCCATATAGCTTTATTAAAAATGTCATCCATCAATTCCCCTTTTGCCCATCAATCCTTTCCGGCTTCCTTTTCGAGCTTCACTCAAGCTTTTTAAAACTACTACGGAGAGGTTTCTATGCCGTTATAAAAAATACTTGTTTCTTCCTCAACAGATGTGAGATCTCACAATCCACCTTTCGAGGCCCACCGTTCTCGTCGCTCCCTTCTAAAATCGATGTGGAACTCCAAATCTACCCCGTTTCGAATTTTGCTTCAAAATTTCACACCTTATAAAAGGCTTCCTCTCCAGCCAACACCAGATGATAGGAGGTAAAAAGGGAAAATCAACTTGTAACCAAGGTCCCCAGAAGTAAGGAGATGTTGGGTGTAAATATCTAGAGAGAGGGGCCGGGGTCAGCTTCCGTAGCACTGTAGACAATTGTATTCGTCCCATTCGGCCCCGTCAGATATTTTTACTCCATGTTTCATATGCGTAGATGAACACTAATTTGTCTATATAAGCATCAACTTTCTTCAACACTAACCCCTACTCAAACATCAAAGCATAAACAAGAACCCAGACGAACTACAGAAATGGGAACATACCGATCCTCCCCCATTGTGGCTCTCCTCTTCTTCCTCCTCGTAACTTTACCGTCGGCGTTGCCCTCTTCGATCATCCCCGAGAGGACGGACGAGGAAGTGATGGCGCTCTACGACCAGTGGCGTGCCAAGCACGGGAAGTTGCACAACCACTTGGGACCAGAAACCCAGAATCGATTCCACATCTTCAAGGACAATCTCAAGTACATCGATGAAATCAACGCCCAAAATTTGCCCTATCGATTAGGTTTGAACGTGTTCGCAGATCTCACGAACGAGGAGTACCGATCCAAGTACTTGGGAGCTAAAATTGCCGCTGGTTCAAGGCGAAACAAGACGAGCAGCCGCTATCAGCCTCGCCTTGGGGATGAAGTCCCGGACTCCATCGATTGGAGGGAGAAAGGAGCCGTCGCTCCCATTAAAGATCAGGGAAGTTGTGGTAAGTTCCATTTTTCTCGCCTTCTTCCAATTTCTTCATCTATAGCTTTCCTATTTTTACTCGCTTTTGCTTATTTGGCGCACACAAAGCGCTCTCATTCACCTAGTTTTTCAGTAATTAGTATAAATTGCAAATGGTTATAATTATGGTGAAAGATGGACTGATGATCGATCATTATAGGAGGAGTGATTGTTTGTTTCTTAAATTTAGATTTCATGACTAAAAATTGTTGTTCCTCATTAATCATTAGTATAGCATAACATCTGTTTTGATAATTTTGAATTATATGTAACCATTCGACTAATTATAGGAAAGAACATGAGGGCACAGAATCTTTATGAGTTGCTCGTGGAATGGACCTGCCTTTACTTTCAACTCGCACTGGCCCCGCACTTTCTATAGAGATTTAATGATGAGATATATATTTCTTCTGAAAAATTTTAACCACGAGATATTTGAATGGGTATTTTTTTTTTTCCCTCCAAATATTTATGAACAGTATAAGATTTGCAAAAGTTATTTCTTTACTTGCCATTCTTTCTTAATTATTATTTATAAAATATTTCGATCCTAAATCATATAATCACATGATTTGATTTTTATGCGCAACTTTTATGACTGGCTATTATATTATCTCAATGAAGGCTGAGATTTTTACCGAATAATAATATAATAATCTCAGTTGTTGATAACACCACACTCATTTTAATTATTAAATTCGTCATCGATTGTTTTAGGAAATATAGAATTAGAATGTTTGAGAGACAAAAAGTTGAAACCTTTTGTATAGTTCTTAAAAGATGGAGAGAGAATAAACGTTTTCTTGAAGGGAGTTGAATTCTCTCTGAAGTATATCATAAATAAACCATATGAGATTTGAACATTGGTCGCTTCAAGTATGCTAATTGTTGAAGTTGATATGAAGGGAGTTGCTGGGCGTTCTCAACTATAGCTGCCGTGGAAGGCATAAACCAGATTGTTACAGGCGACTTGGTAGCACTCTCAGAACAGGAGCTGGTGGATTGTGACATTTCTTACAACGAAGGTTGCAATGGTGGCTTAATGGACTATGCCTTCGAGTTCATCATCAACAATGGCGGCATTGATACTGAAGAAGATTATCCTTATAAAGGCTATGATAGCACCTGCATCCAATCTAAGGTCTCAATTGCTACTCAAACTTTATTTTTCCCTTTTGAGTTGCTGAAGCTTATTTTTGATATCTGATGGTCTTTATTTCTATTGTGTTTGTCTTCTTCAGAAAAATGCTAGGGTCGTTTCAATCGATGATTATGAAGACGTCCCTGTAAACAATGAAAAAGCACTGCAAAAAGCAGCAGCTAAACAGGTTGTGGCTGTTGCCATTGAAGGGGGAGGTAGAAGTTTCCAGCTATATCGATCGGTATGACATCCATTTCTATGAAGTTTTGGTTATTATTATTGTTTTTTGTACACTTTTAGAGAGGGTCTGATTTGTTGTATGTGTATGTGTACAGGGTATATTCACTGGAAGATGTGGGACAGATTTGGACCATGGTGTTAATGTGGTTGGATATGGGTCTGAAGGGGGCGTCGATTACTGGATTGTGAGAAACTCATGGGGTGCGAGCTGGGGTGAAAGTGGCTACATCAGGATGCAACGTAACGTCGCTTCCCCAAAAGGTCTCTGTGGGATTGCAATGGAGCCTTCTTACCCCATTAAAAACGGACTAAACCCACCTAATCCAGGCCCGACTCCTCCAAGTCCGGTGGAACCCCCAACTCCGGTGAAACCCCCAACTGTCTGCGATCAATATTACGACTGTCCCGCCGCAGAAACTTGCTGCTGCCTCTTCCAGTTTTCAAACACATGCTTTGTATGGGGATGCTGCCCACTTGAAAGCGCCACCTGCTGTGATGACCTTTACAGCTGCTGCCCCCATGACTACCCCGTCTGTGACGTCCGTGCTGGAACCTGCTTGAAGGTACGTGGCTTCAATTTCCATTTTCATATGCATCTTGTCAAAATGCAAGGGGTAAAAGTCTGATGAAGACTGAACTTATATTTTTTGCTGTGCAGAGCAAGAATGATGTTTTCGGAGTAAAGGCGATGAGGCGCACTGCAGCTGTAGCCAAACCATCGTGGGCACTTGGAGGAGGTGTGAGTGTTGGGAAGAGCAGTGCTTAAAAAGGTTGCCAGCTTTGGTGGGGGCTAAGGATGAAAGACAGGCTTGTTACTGTTGAATCAATAACTCTCCAAGCCCTGTATTTCTCATATTGTACGCCTCCTGGCTTCGCACCTTTTAAGCTCAATGGTCGTTTAAGTTAGCACACGATGACTGTATATAGGACGTATATGAACACTTGGAACAGAGACTAATTGCTGTCAAGTTATATTAGCACTCTGTCTCTGTGTCAAATCCTGAATTCAGGCCAATTGTGGCTGTCCCTTAATTATGATCTGCTGTATCATTTCATTGAACCAGTAGTCTTTCCTTCACAAAAACATGAATCAAAGACAAATTGAAAAAAGAGAATTATTCCAACATTGAAATATCTAGGCAACAAAATAATTCCCACAACAGTTTAGAGAAAGAAAATCATTTTCCAAAGATCTTAGCAAAGACAATGGGACTCAGCAGCAGCTTTCAATGAAATAAGAAGCAACCCCACAAGCAACTCGTATTCATATCATAGCCCCATAAACAAGAAAAAGAGAAATAGAAGAAAGAAAACTTGAAGCTGGGACCATCCATTGTGTCGGGTGATGGTATTCATATGTCAAAAGACAACTTGATCCAAATTCTAACACTCCCTTGTCATGTTTCTCGCTTCCAATTTGTTTCCGGGGACCATTGCCTGTGGTGCACTATGACTGCCTGCAGGAAGGAATGGGATACACCACCCGAGTGGAACCCCACTCTTCCCTCAATGAGTGGATGGATCCCATTATCATCACTATCACATATATTCAATCAACCTCAAATCTTATTGGGAAAGAGAAACAAATTATTTTTTATAAGTGTGTAAAAACCTTTCCATAACAAATGCGTTTTAATACCGTGAGGTTAACAACGATACATAAAAAGCTAAAACAGAAATATCTACTAATAATGGGCTTACGCGGTTATATTCATGCTCCTCACAGATGAAATATAGTGCCATCTTTGTTTGATAATAAAACTACTTTTAGTATCTAGATATTTTTATTGACAGATAACTCAAAAAACAGTGATTATACAATTTGGGTGCATGCTAATCAACCATCCAAATCCATGCAAGTACCAAACTCATCCTTTTTGTGACAATTAATGCCATGGAGAAGGTACTTTTCCTAATTAATTGAGACTTTGACCATTCTGGCTTGTCTCTCCAAACCCGAATCTAGGATTTAAGCAACTTGGTTTCTCTTCTGTTTCTTGAGCTGCATCTAACTGACTGGAGGTTTCTATCTTTACTTCTGAGTTGGTAGCCTTCATTGTATTCAGGTTCGGGTGGTTAATGGGCATTAGTTGAACTGCGTCGAGACGATCATCGACTTCACAAGGCGGGGTGCCATTAGAAGGAATCTTTGATTTAAAAGTTCCAAAACCGCATGAAGTGGAAGGAAGAAGAGGTGGGATTGGCCACACTGGCGATCCAGAGGCCAAGGGATGTGGGGTGTTCCACCCTAAGTTGATGGATTTGATAGGAGATTCATCAAGCATAGAGCTGAACAATCTCTTCAACCCAGTGGATTGGTTTTCGATCATCTGGACATCTGGCTTTAAAACGTATGGATGTTGGCTAGGAAGGTAGGGCCTTTGAACAGCAAAGATACCTGGCATGCTGTGCAGGTAGCTGAATTTCCTCTGTACATTAATGACTAAATTGAGATCTTCCGGGACCTGAAAAGAACAAGCCATCAATCTGTGTAGCTTGGAAAAACGCTACCTAAGAGAAGGAAAAACCAAGCAAAACCTTATCAAAAGAGCCCAGTTGAACTACGCCTTCTCGTACAGCAATGACTGCAATTGTCTACAAAAAGAAGTATCGGATAAACTGGAAGTGTTTTGCTTTATAGCAAGCTAAATTTGTAGAATAGTAACCTGAATGCCTGATTTAAACTGAGATTCCCAGGCTCGAGGTTGCTGTACATGAACAAAGTGGAAACGTCAAGAAAGCTGGTATGCACAGAATTGAACTGGAAAGGAAAAAGTTGTCTTACAGGCTCAATGGATGAGTTCCACGAGGAGACGAGGTTCGGATCACTTTCAGTTGCGCTATCTCTGAAAACCCATTTATGATTATTATCAGCTCCAACTTTTCCCACTAATCTGCAGCCAGGGACATATAGATTCTGTATGAACTTATCCAACAGGTTGATCTAAATGAATGTACGAATTCTCTCACCCTTCTCCGTAACTGTAAACCTCATGAGACATTTTGAAGAAGAGATCAACTCCAAACCTCCCTGTAAGACACCCACCTGCTGCTCTTTCACATTCATGGAAATCACAAAACCCATCTTCCCAAACAAGAATCCTGAAAGAAAAGCAACTCATGAACTCAGTAAGCAGTCGACAATTCTAACAAAAGTACCATCATCTTTGTTCATACATACCAGTTCCTCTTGTTTCCTTTAGAGCGATCAAGAGCACTCCCACCAAACTCCCACCTGCAACAAAGCAAAGTATGTGGGAAAAATATGTGATGAATTAGAATACAACTCATCCATCGATCACTTCTCCTTGGGGGTTTGAGTTCTTAGTTTTCTTACTTGGGAGGAGGAAAGTTTCTAGGGAGGATCCTCCAGAAAATGGCATAAACCCACTTAGAAGAGGTAGAGCTACAAGAGTCTGAAGACAAACATAGACTCCTTAAAGTGTGTTGCAACAGACAGTTAAGCATGGGAAGGCCACTTTCCATTTTACTGAAAGAAAACCGATTGCTCTGTACTCGTCTTTCTCTTCACCATTAAATGGGAAGGAGCAATCATGGTACTTACTACACCTACTCGCTGGCATTTAGTGTGGGAAACACGCTTCAACCTCCTCCTAGTCCTCGCTATACAAAATATTTATGCTTTGGTACTCATTTCCCCACCAAAAAAGTAATATTATTTCAACTCTTGATTTGCACATCAATAAACGTTGAAGGATCTTTTCCAGTGCAACTTCCTAATATAATTTAAGGGACAGGAAAGCCAAACATGCAAATATTAAGGAATATATCTATATATAATCCAAGGTTCTGTTTCCCAAAAAACAAATCATTTAACACTCATTACCTGCAAATGCATACATAACAATTTGTCAATTGTAGCTGATGTGGTCCTCCAAAAGTTTGAAAGCTCCATTGGATTCAAATTGCACCAAACTTCGTCCTTACGTCGGCCCACCATATAAGACACAAGATAGCTCTGGTCTTCTTACTCTCTCAAGTTTCATGCTTTCTTTACTTTGACAGAAGCAATCCATGGTATCAATTGCTTTGCTGAAAACCCACCGGCTAAATTTTCTGCAAGAAGCAACTAAGTTCTTAAAAAGTTGATAAATTTTCACAAACACTCGGTAGATCTTGAAGGAATCACATAGGAGTAAGCATGAAATCGGGGCTAGAAAATTATTATAGAAGGATCCTTTCCGAGAGGTAAATCTTCTTCTCTTGTCAACATCACTTAGCTGGCATAACATATATCCATCGGCAACCTTCGCCCTTCAACAATTATTGTTCTTTTCTCAGTTGGCTGCGTCTAGAAATAGTTGAGTGAGAAAATGATAATTTCTTCAAGCAAATGTGTTGTGTTTAAGGCTAATCGAACACAAAAGGACCTAACTATAATTAATAATTATACTGCATCCGTCCAAATTATTTGGCAGCAAGTAATTAATCAAATGCCCAATTAAGTGTTGTTTAAACTGATGCATGTCGTCTTCAAACTTCAAAAGTTAGTGATAGCTGATTATCAGACAGTCAATTTAGCATGCTGAGAGTTTACAAATCTAGCACAGTAAACAACAAAGAAAGACATAAAGAAAGAAAAAAACTGGTCCAGCACGAATTTATGAGGGGAAAGGAGCACCATGCACCTTCAAAGTGTGTCCCCTCCACCCATTTGCAGACACCCTATCCTGCACTGTAGAAAGGAAGATAGGTGTAAAAAGTACTCATATAACAAATATCAATCTAATGGGTTTCAAAGATGCTACAACAGTGTAAAGAACACGAACCAGCTAAATGGGAGGTGAAAAAAAAAAAATCTTTTGTCCATTCACTAAGAGTGACCAAAGACAACCACACCCACGCAATATGGAGATCTGCAATCAATTCTATTGGCATCCTTGAGATGTATCGCATCTGCAATCTTTGAACCTGAAAGCAGCCACATAAAAGCCAAGCTAACAATACCCTATATAATAAAGGATAATGTCTTATTGCACCTTTATTATCACTTTCAAAGCGTGGATAATAGGACATTAGATGGGGCAACTGGTTCTGGCGAAAGAAACACAATGTTGGGAAGATGCCCCCATTACGGAAGCAGCTAAATATACGTCGACAGCTACAGAAATTAGGGGGATAGAACGCAGTGTGTACTTCTCCAATGATAATAATCTAGACCCGTGGCTTGGTCCTCTACCACCATTCTCCACCTCTTTGGATTTGGCATTATAACAAACACCTTCCGTGCATGTTGCTCAAGCCCAGCCGCAAATGACAACTCCAATGCCCTTTATCACATCTTTCACCTAGAAACGTGGCCCAATCCGACATGTAAATGTAGTAATCTCTCAATCACAACAGGGAGTTCTTCTCATAACTATAATAACATAGATTGCAACCTTATTTAAACTAACAAATAACAACTTTAGCAATCACTTTTGAAAATAGATTGGCAATCAAATTATTCAAACTACCTCATATGGCGGATCAAACTTTCAGGAGTTGCAGATTTATGATTATATTTGAGAACTGCGTTTTATCTATTCTTGTTCTTCAATTATGAACTATTCTTAGATCTCCTTATCACCATTTTTAAATAGTGGCGGGCAATCAAAGGTAAGTTTAAATGTGACGGGAGTCCTGACTGATGTAAAACTTGAAAGCGATGGCTTTCAGTTGATGTATTATTTATGATTTTAAGAAGAATGTCTCAGAGGAGTCATTAATTAATAAGTTCGATTGTGTCGTTACAAAATAATTAATTAGTTGATTCATAAATCATATGCAGCTAAGCGTAGTATTGATTGGGCCTTGGCATTTAGTTAGAAATCATAGATGCCCATTCGACCTGTGTCAAAGGCACTTTATTTCTACCCAAAAAGGAACAATGCCTGATATTCCATTCAACATTCTTCGTTGCTATATTCATGTTAGAACATCGATATGCCAAAAAAGATTCTAGCAAGATGAATGCTTGAAGTCAAGAACTAAAAAGATGCTCAATTAAAGGACATTTTGACCAAAAGTAAACCCAACCCCGAATTGTTTTGTAATAAAATATCACATTCAATTATGAACAGCCTTCAATCCTGGGATGATAAGGGTATCTAGTATGGTCTTCACTTGACACTTTCTCCATTACACATGGTACTCTTCTATGCAGCTGGCACAAAATGTTAGTGGTTGTATAGACATTGTAGCGTTACTTGATATACGTACAAGTTAAACTGGCAAACAAACAGACCTCACAAAGACCAAAAGTGAACTCTAAAATTTAAATTAAGATGGTTCTTCCTTTGAAACTGAATCATGATTTCATCAAAACCAGGAACAAAAGCGCCCTAAAATATCAACCATTTCAGAAACCACAACGATATTGTACTGCGAAAAAGATTGATACAACAACCACACTTTTGTTCTACCCAAGAATTACTGCACCTATGAGATCTAATCCAATCCAACCACCTCATTAATTTTTCTTCTGGNGGGGGGGGGGGGGGGGGGGGGGGGGGGGGGGGGGGGGGGGGGGGGGGGGGGGGGGGGGGGGGGGGGGGGGGGGGGGGGGGGGGGGGGGGGGGGGGGGGGGGGGGGGGGGGGGGGGGGGGGGGGGGGGGGGGGGGGGGGGGGGGGGGACAAGCATAGGTATCAATTCAAGCAATTATTAATAGGGTTGACGGCCTTACCCCGTCTCTCTTATATTATGTTGCAACTTCAATCAAAATTGTTTTGTATACAAGCAACCGGAGCTGTAATGTTTGACCGCAGAGAAAAGGACTTGTAGGTCAGCATTCTGCAACTCTGTACAGCTCAAATGCATTAAAAATACTCCCATAGATGTGGGAAACGGGCAGTTCTAATGATAATTGTTGATAACGCGAACAGATATCATGTATCAACAATGCAATTAACAACTAGAGCAATAACAAACATTTCGGGGAAGATTCCATTGCACAACTCCATTCAACCAGATGTTAGTTTTCCGTTTGGTACAACTTCATCATAATCCAGAGAAAGTAAACACATGCTTCAAGTTAAGAATACCTTCACCAGCAGAATTGAGGAAACCTCGATTTTCCAGTGAACAAATGAGTTCCCCTCCCTCCTGTAACATTTCCACTGAAAATAATGACAAATGTATATAGAACATATAGCAAATCAAAGCAAGCTGTAAAAGCTACCTTTGTCTCCTTAACATAGAGTCTCGTAAACAAACTGCAGTGGCAATTTCCACATGGCCAATGATGATCAGAATCATATGCAGATCAATAAATGGATCAAACATTTGAATAGGCAAAATGGCAACGTTCTTTTGCTGCTCCATGCCGATTGTGATACCGGGCATTATCATGTTGCCGGCCTTCTGAAGGAAGGAATTCTCCCAGAACATGGTGAAGGCAGTTTATTATGATTCAAAAGTATTTAATACAAGAGATGAACCATAAGATCTGACAACAAAACAACTAAACCAAAGTTATTAAACATAACTTACTACATCAGTTCGTGAAGACAGTATACAAGCCAACACTTGTGGATCGGTCATGAGCCAATGGATCTGTTCGTAGAGGATAACAAAGCTGGTAGTTCTCCCCAATACCGACTGAAACATCCAGCGGAGTGATCATATCACTCGCAGTAACATGGTTGTCATATCTAGTGTACTGAAACAAACACTTCAAAGGGCTTCACAGCCACGTGAGAATAACTGGACATAGTCAAGGTAGCACGGTGAGAAAGTAATGAACCAGCATATCACCATGTTATATTACTGAAAATGGTCAGTCAAAGAAATGAATATTATGTTCATCATAAATTGGTCATCAAAGAAAGGTGTTGGTGATCATAAATTGGGCTTCACAGCTACTAGAGATGCTGATTATAACATTATTTAAAGATGTTGAGGAATGTGAATAGAACTAAAATTTTCAAAATCATCTGCAGCTTCTAGGATGTGCCTGTAAGGATTTGGAGTCGGATACATAGCTCAAGAGTGTCTACCAATTGCTGCAGATAAAACGAAAGCAATTGTAGAGTAGTGAACGTGAAAGTGTAACAACACAAGCCCACCGCTAATAGATATTGTCCACTTTGGCCCGTTACATATCGCCGTCAACTTCACAGTTTTAAAGCGCATCTGCTAGGGAGAGGTTTCCACACCCTTGCAAGGAATGCTTATTCCCCTCTCCAACCAACATGGGATCTCACAAAAAGTAATAGATTCTGGCATGCACTACGCATCTATCAGTTGAATAGGTTCCAATATTATAAAAAAAAAGCAGGGAGCATGAATATTTAACTCCAAGACGTGGGGGAATAAGCAGCGCAAACAGCATGGAAATGAGATAGATTAAACACGGAATCAAGGCAATACAACCAGAAAACAATGCAGAAGAACAAGACCAGAAGCGTTAACGTTTTGTAACTTGCTTCGTTCCTGATATCTAATTATTAATTCGAGAACTACTATTACCACCTGACCACCTTCTCAGTGTACAAGCAACTAAACCCCTCCCCGCCAAAAGGCCTAACCTTGACTTTAGTGACGATGATCGCCCAGCACTGCTAGATGCAATCATAGAAGGTGCAACTTGACTTGGAATCGGATGAAAATCAACAACATTATCCTGTATCCCACCATCACTTGCACTTGCATCCGGAATTTCAGGTTCACCACTGTCTAAATTCACGGCCAACGATCCCCTACTCGACCTCAACGAATCTGCACCCTCCGGAGTTACTCCTCGACATTTTTTAACCTTAACTTTCACTAAATTTGGGCAACCTTCGGCAAGCGCTTCCATACCTTGATCCGAAACAGGACAACTCTTAATGCAAAGCTTTTTCAGTGCTATGCATTTTGCGGCAATGCAGGAGATTTCGCTATCACCAACTGTATCGCTTCCGCACAATGCCAACCGCTCTAAATTTCGACAATTCGAGGCCAATATTTCCAGGCTCACCTTCGTGGGATTCACTCCGATGAGAACCAGTTCTTGAAGGTTAGAGCAGTTTCTTGCAACTGCTACTAAACCCTCGTCACCAATCCTATTTGCCTTCCATCCATCAATGTGCAGCTTCCTCAAGAGCTTGCATCGTTCTGCTAACGCTGCAATGCCCAGGTTCGTACACTCCGGGGTCTTAACAAGGTGCAGAATTTCCAGATCCATGAAATTTGAGATCGCTGAGAGGCCTACATCACTAACCTGAAGCCTTTCGAGATGGACTTCAGTAAGACTAGTCACTCGGTCTGATATAACGCTGAGCAAAGCATCCCAATCTCCTGAGCATCGGAAGAGCTTTAAAGTTCTCAGACTTCTAGCACCGATTAATAGCGGTCCGAAACACTGTGCATTATAAAGATCTTTCAGGCAAATAGTTTTGAGAGATATCCCCGCCACGCCAGGCCCAATCGGCTCAGCAGTCGAATCAGTGATACCTCGAAGTCGCTTCACTGATAATTCTTCGAGGGCGGAACAATGATCAAGAATAGCGTTCATTCCTTTGGCTCCAAATGTGCAAGATCCACAAGAGAGTTTTTTCAAACCCTTGCAGTTCTGGGCAAAAGCAGCCATGCCAACATCGGTCAATTCACGGCACGCACGAAGCTTAAGACGAGTCAAATTACGGCATCGGAGGGAGATGAGGATAAGAGGGTCATCTCCGATGCTCGAAGACCTACGGTCACACTTCAAAGCAAGTTTGGTGACAGCATCGAATCGAGTAAAAAGGGAAGGTATCATGGAGGAAAGATCCGCTTCAGCTTTAAGGGAGAGACGGTGACGGCTTTGCCCCTCGACTTTGAACCACCGGCGACAAACGAGAGAGCAGCTCTTCCGGTCGACGGAGCTGAGGGATTGGAAAATACAAGCCAAGCACTCATCCGGAAGATCGGAAATGAAGTCGGATGTTCCATGAAGTATCACCTGAAAGTTATTGGTTCCATCCAGGTGCATCGGGGAGCTTAGGGACGTCGATTTGATCTTAGATCGATGGCTATGATTGGTATCGCGGCGGCTAAGAATCGTAGTCGACGAAGCTGATTGGCCCATTCAGGGCAAGTTGAAGAAGAAGCAATCTGGGTTTGAGCCCTTGGGATATTGCTACGGATCATACGCAGGGCGGAGGGTGGGTGTAGACGGGGTTAGGTTGAGGGTCTCAGACGTCGTCGCTCCGTTGATTTGCAGTGCGCAGAGAGAGAGGGAGTGAAGATGACGGACTTGAAAATAAATTCCAATTGGCTTTTGGAAAAGTTTATTTTACATTACAACTTTATTTTGAATAGAATAGAATAGTCCACCCTACAGTGTGAGGGAAAATCAGGAGCGGGGGACCTCACGTGGTCTTCGTGGCCTCAGATCCCTCCCTTTTTCTTTTTTCTTTTCTTTTTTTTTTCCATCTATTTAATTCTATTCAAACAATCATTGTGCAAATTATTTCCTTTCCAAATCAATTTCCCCTTCCTCATGAATACCATCCATCCATATTTATTAATAAGTCAATATCAATGGGCCTTAGATTAATGGGCCTTAAATTGTGTATGCATCCGGAATATACAAATGGGCCTTCAAGTTGGGCCAGTCGAAAATAATGAGGAATTGCTGCTATAGACCCATAGGGCCCGATGAACGGCCCATGGAGCCCAATAACCCATTCGTGAAGTAGAGCTGGGTCGTCGGGTCATCATCCTAAAAACCAAGCCGGCTTCGTCTGTTCGCTTCATTTTACATCCCTCAGCTCATCTACCGTCTCCACATTAACGTTTCATCCTCATGGCTGCTTCTTTGCTACTCCGGGGGCATCCTCTCCTGCGGTTTGGGCTCTGGCATCGCGGGCTTTGCTCTGGGGTCGTGCAGGTGACTCGCCGCTCTTGCTGCACTGCGACGGCGGCGTCTACTCCACCGGACGGGAGCTTAACATCTGCTGAAAATACTGCATCAGTGTCGAGTGCCAGTCAATCAACGAAGTACCAAAGATGGTGTGAGCCTGATTATCGAAAGTGGAAAGACCAGGAAGACGAAATTCTCAGCGATGTCGAGCCTGTCATGTCCCTCACTAAAGAGATTCTCCACTCCAATAGGTTCATAATTTTACCCCGATAGCTTATACTGAATTTTGAAGGCATTATCTGTTTGTTTTTTAGTTGCTGAGGAACTGTTCGAGAAAACAATTAAGTAAAAATATGTTTTTTTTTTTACATGGTCTGCTCGAATAGAAACTTCCCTAGTCTCGAACAATATATTATATTACAGCAAGATTGGAGAAAATAATCTTGTTAAAATTCACAAACAGACATACTGACATGTTTAAGGGTGAGAACGATGTTAGAAATTTCATTTTTTAATGAACCAAAACATTCCTTCCATGAAACATACATAATACCTTTTCACTCGTGATAAACTCAAGATAATGGAAGATTGTACGTTGATTAGCGGGTAGATGAAAATGTAACGTGAAAAGTAAATATGAAGCTGACAATTACAACTTCTTAATAACTGATAATCAGTTATCAGGTTTTCTTTACTTCTAATTTGAATCGACATGAATTGGTATATGTTCTGTGTTTTCATGGAAATATGATAACTACTTTCGTGTATCAACTCCTGGCTAAATCGTTTTAATTGGATCAATGCATTTGATATTTACATACGAGACCCATAATGTTGAATCTTTCCAACTACACTAACAACTACGGGAAGCTTTCAAAAACATTACAGCAGAAAGAAAAATGATATTCGAATTAGGTTTCAGCTTATTATATGTGCCCTTTCTTATCTTTCTTTGTGGATTTGGGATTTGACTTTCTACGGCCTCTGCAAATAACTAGGAGTGTGCCTTTGAGTTTAGTTATACCATCAGAAGACCATAATGCATCGGTTGTCAGCTAAGTGCTAATTGCTGAAAATTTTAAATTGTGGATTAAAGAATTTCATCTTCTCATTCTCGCTATCCCGCCTAGAAAAGCCTAGTTAGAAAGAAAAACTTATCAATTTAAAAGATGTGGCTATGATCATATTAAAGTATTGATCATAAAACTATGACCAGATCTTCACTGCTAGCATATATGTGACTGTGGAATGCAAACGGTATTCTGATTTCTCTTGGACATGAAGTGAAGACTTGGTTAATTAATGCGCTCATCTTTCAGTTTTATTTATATGAGTAGTCAGTTGGACGTTAGGGCAGTAGGGCCCTTGAGGTAATTCCCTTTTGATTGGTAGTAGGTGATGTGGAGGAAAAAGGTACTGTGTTTAGTAGTTTCATGTTGGGAGAGATTCAAGCCTCTCGCATTGCTATTTGATCCTCATTGGAATTAGCAAACTTGATTTCTGTTGGAAATTTTATCGACATTTGTTCACATAATATTTGTTAAGGTCTTCTTACATTTGGGTACTTATTGGAGTCATTATTGTAATCTATATGCTTCTCTTTGATCTTTTCCATTTTGAATAGTATTCAATGCATAACATTATGACAATTGAGATCAAAAGTAATGTCCAATGGGACCTAGTGAATGACCAGCAACTTTTAACTGGTAAAAGCAGTGCTTTCCTCAATGTAGGGTTGGTTGCCAGTGTTCATGAGGTGGTCTCATTTGGCACATTTCAATACAATATATGGCTCATGTTTTTGTTTTACAATCACACTTTGCTCCTATGATATTATGTCCCCTTCTCTTAAGGACTTCTATTTTTTGTACCAGGTATGTGGATGGGGAGCGATTGACATCAGAGGACGAGAGAATTGTGGTTGACAGGCTTCTAGCTCATCATCCACATGCTGAAGATAAAATTGGTTGTGGACTTGAATTCATTATGGTATGCTTTGGTCTGGACTAATTAGTTTAGAGTTCTTGCTATGTTTCAAATATGCAGTTTGCATGCTTTATTTTGTTAGATCGTGTAGAAATAAAGCAGATAAAGAAACAAATGACATTTGGCTCGTGGATATTTCCAAAAGCTTAAAATACAAGAAACTTACGAAATTAATTGGACAACTCTAGCCCTATATGATAATTGGATAATAGGTACCCGACTGATATTGTGAGACTCCACCTCGGTTGGGGAGGAGAACGAAATATTTTTTATAAGGGTGTGGAAACCTCTCCCTAGCAGACGCATTTTAAAAACTAAGAGAGGAAGCTCGAAACAAAAAGTTCAAAGAGGACAATATATATTAACTGTGGGCTTGAGCTGTTACATATATAGCCTTTGATTACAAAGATGGGAAAGAAAGTTGAGGTATCCTTCCCTTAACTCTCTCAATTCCAGTTCAAGAGAAACCATGTAAAATCACATAAATAAATGTTAGCGATTGGCAGAAACCTCTGGCTTCGCACCTCAATCTTTGCCAAAATGCTTACCTGCCCAACTCCCTTCATAACGACCGGATCTAATGAACTTCCTAGCCAATGACTACATAATAACATTTGTTGCATGCCTCCTCAAGTTGCTGCCCATGTGATCAAGTAATGGCCTCCATTTAACAACTATCTCCTTCCATATAAGGGACAGAATTGAATTGTGATTGAGGTCATTAAGCAATTTCATATATACATTACTAATACTGAAGCTTCTCTGAATAATACTTTCGCTGTATGTCATGTGGTGCTGGCGTGTCCATTGAAGATCTTTGTGGGCTATCATGCTCTTCTGCGACTGTTTGTACAAAAAAAAATGACTGTAAATGGAACTTATCTTCTGGTGTTGCCTAAGTAGCTTACTGGACTCTATGGCTGTGTTTTTGTGTTGCTCAACTATAATCTTGAGTAAGACGTTGTAAATGGAACCACATTTGAAATACGTTGCTGCATGGCAGCACCTTGAGTAAGATGTGGTAACTCTGTGGCCCATGGCCTTGCTTTGGCAGTCCTCTACTTCGGCTCTTTCAATGGTTGTCTTATATCCTTTTGGATTCAGGATAGTTGTATCTGTTGGCCAGGCTCCTGGGTTTAATATTATATTCCCTTCACAAAAAATAAACAAAAGTTGAAAATTGCATCTGACCTAATTTTCTGTTTTCCATGACACTTTACCTTCATTGCCCAGCCATACAAAATCATCGCATGCTTTTTTCCTTTGCCCACCCACTTCTCATTTTGAGATGTTGTGCACGCTACTTTGTTAGACCTCCAATCCAGAAGGTTTGTTCAAGGAAGAACAAAACTGGAATATGATTGTTTCTAACGTTTAAAAGTATCAGCTCCAGTTAGTCAGTCGGTTTTTTTTTTCCTTTTAAATTTTTATTTGAGTATTTTGAATTAGCGAGTGATAACTTATTGAGTCAATTATATAACTTCTTAGTTTTGTTTGTATGCAGTGTTTTTGTAAATGCCGGGCATTGTTTTTTTTCTTCTTATGTTGTGTGGTTTCTTGAAAAGAATGTGGAGTGATTAATGACCCTCTCAAATGGGGACTCCCATCACACTTTTGATATCAACAAAGCTTACATCTATTGTCTATAGAGATGTGATGTTTACCCAGTTTAAAATTGTTCTTTATTTTAAATAATTATTTAAGCTATCTTCTGTCATTGAAGGTTGATCGACACCCCCAATTTCGGTACTCAAGATGCCTCTTTGTTGTAAGGACTGATGGTGGATGGATCGACTTCTCGTATCAAAAGTGTCTTCGTGCATATATCCGAAGTAAATATCCATCATATGCAGAGATGTTTATTCGAGAACATTTCAAACGTGGTAGTTGATGAATGTGTGCTATTGTTGATGCTGTGAGCTGTGATCTGAATTTGTTTTGATCAAGAAAGATGTATGAATGATTAAATCAATTCTTCATGGTTCGGTGACCTGCAAGAAGGAAAAATGTACGGATTGTCAATGTAATAGATAGCATGTCCTGGACGCACTGCACAGTTTTTAAGAATGAGAAGAATCGATGATCATTGAAGTGAACCTTCACTTTATTGACTTGCAGCTCTATTATGTTTGTGGTTATGGATAATGGATAATCAAGGCACCATGGAATTTCTTGTATACGTTCATTCGAGAACGTCGAATGGGAATATTGATAATGTTTCAAAGTAATATAGGATTGAAAAGTTTAAACTGATATTTCTTTACTCTATTCTCTTGACTTCCTACCTTGTGCTAAATCCAGATCTTGCGCATGTTGCAAGGTTCATGATGAACCATCCAAGGGAAGAGAAATAATCAAACCTCAGGCGCATGATCAGGTTAAGGGGTTGATGATTGCAGCTGTAATGACAGGAACAGTGATGTGTAAAAAAGATACATTTGTAAGCAAATGAGGTATAATGTTGGCGGTGGGAAAATGAAGGCATAAAGCGGCCTCGTGGGGTTGGCCAATGAAGAGGGTTCAAACGAAAGGGATTGAAGGATATGATTTAGTGTAATGGTGACATGTTAGGTTAGTGACTGGATTTCGAATTGAGGAAAGCAGGGTGGGTCCCTGTCACAGTCAAGCTGATAATTGGAACGGGTCAAGTCAAAAGAGTCGAGCGGCCTAATGAATCGCTGAGCTCTTTGGAGGGCTTTCACTTGTCAAAACGGTGGTAAAGCAGTGGTCTGGGTATCTCTCTCTCACCTGCATGTGCTTGCTTTCGAAGATGGGTAAATTCTTTTCTGTCTCTCTCTTTTTTTTTTTCTCTCAATTCTACCGTCAAAACCATGCACCGCTATTTCACCTAAAAGCCCTTTTCTTTATTCTCTTGCTTTTGAGACTGAAAGCTCAACCAATGTCTGAGGGTTCATTATGTGTAGGCTTTTTAGAAAATGACACAAGCTTTTGTGCATTAACATGCTCTTTACTAGGTGCTAGCAAAGATCAAAACTGTATCATTCTGGAAAAAAACCACATTGCAATCTGAGACGACCCATTTTCAAAAATACAAAATTTCTTCTGCCAGAAAGTGGTTGGTTGGTTGGAAATTCTTTGAAGGATTTCACTTGCAAGGTCTGAAAAGTTTGGGGTTGAAAAGTCAAACAAGCACTTAGTATGAGTTTATTATTATACAAACCGAGGTTTTTATGTTGAACCTCGCAAGTTACATACTATGTTCTTCGGATCAAACACAGAGTTGAAGTTTTGAATAATACTGTGTTTGTGAGCATAATCTCACAAAAGTTTTGAAGTTTTGGGGTTTTTATCTTTGTTTCTTCTGATTTCAATCATTATTGAATTAAAGATTGAATTATAGATCTTTAAGATGCCAATCAATAGCTATCCTTGAATTGGTGGCATTATTTGAAAGTAAAGTCACGTGGGTGTACATTCTTAGCCGGCTGGTTTTAGTATCTATTAGTTTGTACCTAAAATAATTGTTATTGAAATTCTTACAGGTGTTCATGGGAAACATATAACTGAAAAGTCCAACGTCAGTGACATCAGAATCACAAATGGCAGGGGCAGTACAGCCATCCATCTGCAGCTTGCACTGTTGAGAAAAATCAAAATTGTTGCAACCCAATCCACAATCAGATCGGGTAGTGAAACCATGATGATTACGGGTGTACTATTACCCGACCCGACACAAAGCCAAAAACTGGAAGAAAAAAAATATTCCATGTGGGATCCTGCACACATGCAGCATCATCAGGTATCGTGGTTGCGTGATTTTAGCACAGTTAAGGATTAGAGAAAGCTCCTGAATTATAATGAAAACCCATGAATGTCTTCAATTATTTAGACAGGTTCAATCAGATTTGCCTGTATGCAGTTCAATTTCAGCCCAAATCTAAAACTACAAGACTTTTTATGTCAACCCCTTTGAAAAGGCCTAATCTTTAGCTTAACCAAAACTGATGAAACTGAATCTCTCTCTCTCTCTCTCTAAGACTTTTTTTATATCAACCCCTTTGAAAAGGCCTAATCCTTAGCTTAACCACAGTGATGAAACTGAATCTCTCTCTCTCTCTCTTACCCCTCTCTGCTGTTGGGGGTTGTGAACAGAGCTGTGAAGTTGAAAAAGAATGGTGGGAAGCAAAAGGCAATAAAGGAGTGTAGTATAGGTTCTGATGGTTGGATGTACAGAAAACAATGGCAAAATTCCCTATTGGGGTTTCGGAATTGGGTTTCTGACTCCTGGAATTGGTTTTGGTAGGGCTGCCCCACGCACCTCCGTCTTCATTGATGCTGTTGTACTGTCCTACCTGCTCACACTTCCCTTTTTGTCCGCTCACTCATCTTTATCTCTCTTTTTTCTCTAATGTTTTAAACAGTTAGCAGCATTTTGAGCAGAAAAGGAAATGCCCCTCCGCTGACATTGCCTCTATTTAATACCACAAAACTTTGCTGATCCCAATTCCCATAAATGTTCGAGTGGCAAAAGTAAACGAAGGCGATTAGCTTTCAGAATCAAGTTTGACTAATTGAAAATGAGTTGTTCGTTACCTCAAAAGGTGGCTATGAAAATTGCTGGCTGTGGTGCATCTCTTGTGCGGGGAACCCAAGTTCTATGCTATTAATTCTGGAAATGGAACCTGTCGGGATTTTAAGGCGGTCCATTCTAAATTCAACTATTTTGTACTCTCTAAGCACAAAAGAGAGTGAAAAAAACGAAGGACCCGTGATTTAACTCCTTTTTCGCTTTAAATATGCTTCGCCTTAAGCAGCAAATAAAGAAGGAAAAGAAAAATATATGCAAAGAACTAGGAAGTCCAGGCCATTTAGGCTTTAGCAAATATCAGCAAATTGGGACCATTGTAAACATTAATTGGTGTAATATAATTCGTACACCGCGTCATTACTATGCTCTCAATCAGGCCACTACAATATAACTCTCACTTTTCTCTTGAATAATACAAAATTTATAGCTATGGTGACAGTGTTCTTGAGTAATCCCCCCACACGCTGGAGCTGGTTCATGGACCGCCCTGGCTGTCTATATGGCCCACGACGCCATTGTGTACGAGTGTCACGTGTCGATTGATTATATTGCATGGCCCATGATTTATGTCCGCTGATTATAAGCACGAGAGGCTCCCAATACAGAAGCATATCATCCCCCTAACCCCGCAAATATAACCCCACCCACCACCTCTTTACGACGGCGCTGGAGAGAAACAGAATTATATGAGAGGAAATTATGAGAAACTACAGAATGGCGAAACGGCATTGCTACCCACTTTCAGTTGCGCATTCAATTTCAGGTCACCAAAACGTCTCACTTTTTCTTGATTCCCTCTACTGCTTGGAGGAGGAGGACGGAATTGGGGATGGACATTCCCAGCCAAAGATCGAAGCTTTCTCGATAAATGTTAACGTCGATTCCCCGAATTCTGTGTTCTTGTCGGACAGGGACTTTCTCTGGGAAGACGAGGAATTGGTGTCTCTGTTCTCAAAGGAGAACAGAAATAAGCTCCACGATGCTCTCCCACACAATCCCTCTCTAGCTGCGGCTCGCTCCGACGCGGTTGAGTGGATTCTCAAGGTCAATGCCCATTACTCCTTTACTACCCTCACCGCCGTTTTGGCCGTTGATTATGTCGACAGGTTCCTGTCCAGCCCCCATTTTCAGATCGACAAGCCATGGATGACCCATCTCACCGCCATTGCTTGTTTATCTCTTGCTGCTAAAGTGGAGGAAACCGAAGTTCCCCTGCTTTTAGACCTCCAGGTAAACACAATTCCCATCTCTTTGAATTCAATCTCCACATTTTGCGATTGTTAATTTCTTAAATCAAAATTGGGTTGTGGGTTGTCTTTTAATTTGTGGTAGGTGGAGGAAAATGGGTACTTCTTCGAAGCTAAAACCATTAAAAGAATGGAGATTCTTGTTCTCTCTACTCTTCTTTGGAGGATGAATCCGGTGAACCCACTTTCATTTTTGGACTATATTGTAAGACGGCTCGGCTTCAAGGACCAGCTCTGTTCTGAATTCCTCTGTAAATGTGAAAGATTACTTCTTTCTGTCATTTTAGGTGAGCCCCTATCAAAATCGACATAATTAATAACACCAAATTTGACTTCTGTCTTCATTAATTATTCTCTTAACTCCCAGATTCCAGATTCGTATGCTTTCTTCCATCACTGATAGCAAGCGCCATTATTTTTCAAGTTATCAACGACAAAGAACCCCATGTCGCAGCAAAATACCAGGATCAGCTTCTGGGTTTTCTTCAAATCGACAAGGTTTCTTTCTTTTTTCCTGTTTCCCCCTTTATAGTTCTGTCTTTGGCAAACGAATTAACCGAAACTTATAATGTTTTTGTCGTGCTCTGTTTGTTCGGGTAGAATAAGGTGGAAGATTGCTCACAATTCATCATAGAGGCTTCATCGAGAGGACACACAAACAAACAAAGATTTGGTTTAGTGGACATGTCGTGCAGCTCAAATGGTCGGACTCAGAATGTGGACCGTGTAGTGTCGTCGCCGGAGACAGCAACGAAGAAGAGGAAAATTGATGAACAGCCACCGTAGAAGCGGCAGCTGCAGAATTTTCAGTAGAATTAGTTGACCCTTGGGGTTCATTTAATCAGGCTTATAGGTGCTTGTACTTGTTGTTTCTTTGGTACACCAAGAGTGTACGTGCAATAACTAATATATAATATGATCAAGTCAAATTGTGGCATTAATTTTAACGTTTCCATTCCATCGTCGGAAGAAAACGTAATATTTGAAGCTCATTAACGGATGAAATTGGAAAGAGAAGAGAGTGGGGTACGCATTAATTTGTTATATGATCAATTCAAATTGTGGGTTTGGTTTGCATGTGAGAGAAAGGAACCCGCTGTCGGCAATAAATAATAATAATAAATAAATAAAAAGACAAAAGTAAAAAATCAATCTAGTAAAAGTAACAGCCCAAACAAAATGAACATGTTCTGTCAGAAAAAAGCGTGATAAAGCAATGCTTCCGCCATCTTTACTCTCTTTATTGATATTATTTTATGTTGATATGGATGAAAATAGTAATATGCACAAAAAAAAAAGCGAAAATTTACTGATTCTTCGCATTTTGAGCACTAATTTGAGTTAGTTGCCACTTATTTAGGATGGATGTGGTGAGTGGGGTTGATAATACAGATTTTTTACACATTTTTAAGCTTCCTAGTTACTAATTTTGTAACCGCAAGTATCTCAGATAGATGGCAAGTATATCCCGTGGATAAAATTTTTAAAATTTTGAGGAGAAGTTCAAAAGAGACGGCCTCAAAATTCAAAATAAGATAATATTTGTTAATATTAAATTAAGAACTTTTCTCCTCCTCTGCTTTTGAATGACCCTTGAGGTGTTAGTTGAATGATGAGACATGATGATGAACACATTCATTTCCCTACATAGAACACTCGAGAATCAGTCTACAAAAGCAAAAGGTAAGGTAAGCTGTGTTCTGCATTCTGAAAGGGTTGGCGGCACACACCACAATTGTTCAAACTCAGTTGCCGGATGCTAGTTTGGGAACAAAAGCCCCATATTTCTTTCTTTTTTCTCATGTTTGTCCTCATCTAATAAAAGATTGGAGACCTGGCTGACAATCATATGGGCTGGGCCCCGGCTTCCCATTACACACCCTTCCCTTCTGAATTGAAACTCACATTCCTCGCGTGAATCTCATAATTCAACACCCTTCTGATTCTCAGATTTTACTCGCAGCAGAAGCAGAGGCAGAGGCAGAGGCAGAGGCAGAAGCAGAAGCAGAAGCAACAGAAGCTAGAGGTAATTCAGAAGGCCCCACTTCTGAGTGAAAGAATCCAATGGCCCGCTGCTTCTGCTTCTCTTCCTGTAATGCATATGAGCTGCGATTGTCCCAATTGCAACGTAATTCCAAAAATAATGAACATTTGCGTAACCACAAAAATAATAGAAAGTAAAACTGCCCCTTTCTGCAAAAGATTTGAGCCCCATTCATGTCGCCGCAGCAGATAGAGTACGGTCTATGTGGTCCGGTGAAAAGTGGGTTGTCGTTTCATTCACGGGTTTTTCTTCGTCTTACTTCTTTTATATTCATTTTTTGAAAATAATTGCTCCCTAACATTCCAAACGCAAACGGACGAGGATAAAGGGTTGGAAAATGACTGCCCCCTGCTCTGCTCCACGGCCATGTAATTGGAAACTAGTGTCCATCCGGATGGGACTGCGCTGAGGCAAGAGTTCAAATTAGTAGTATGTGGAGAATTTTTAGATCAAATCAAGAAGACAAGCTCTCATGTCGGCTTTTAAAATACAATGCACACACTGAAGCAAAAATGGACTTGGGAAAAGAAGTTAAAAGTGCTGGAATTTGATATAGTGCTCTGCAGAAACGCAGTGATGAGAACATTAACGGGTTCGCAGTGAAGTTTAGACGACATAGAAATCTATACAATGATACGAAAAGCCGCCACAACCGGGTAAGGCTTGAATAGCTAATTTGATCTAAACATGATTGCATGTTTTAGTCATCGGCATTGTTGGTGCTTGTTTCCATATTCTCAGGCACATGGTACGATGACAAGAAAAATGTGTTCTGATTCTTCCTTAAAAACCTGCAACAAACATACACATCAAAACAAAAGACGGAAACCCACAATAATGTCTCAAAGCACACAGTAGTGAGGAGAGGAATAAATACTTGAGCAAGTCAACTAACTTCTGCTGCAGTTCCGTCAAAGTCTCCTCTTCAATATTGGCTTGGGACAACAACTCAGGCAACCTAACTGCGATTTTCATGAAAACGCCCGCATAGCATCTTCAATTATGACCATTAACCACACATATTATGCACACTAGTGTATGCAAATAAGAACCAGGGTAATCAGTATTACCGAATAGACGTAGAAGGTGTTCGGCGCCATATATAGAAGATGGGGAGACATCATGAACAATCAACTCTTCATATTGTTGGCGCTCGCTTTTGTATAGAAGCATCGCGGGTAGTGCTTTATCAAAGTAACAAATCAGCCCCTTCACTATTTCTCCAACGGATTCATCTTTCCTGTTATCGGATAGCATTATTAAGACGATGAAGAACGGGGTGTAACAAACAACATACTTACGTTCCATCCTTCTTCAGCCTGTATTCAAGATATTTCTTCATGATATCTTCTACATTAGGCGTACGAGGGAGCTTTACCAACTGCACAGCAAAATATAATTAACAAACCCCAAATTACAAGATCATTAGATTCTGTGAAAGTAATAATGGTCATGACAAAAGCAAGGCAGATATCACTACCTTCCCAAGATGCGTTACAAACTCACTGTCATCAACTAGTTGCTTCTTTAGTTTAAGTGGAATCTGTATGCTCACAAGCTTTTCAACGTTCACGGCATTCTTTTCCTACCAGTAAACAAACGAGATGCTGAGTTATTTTTACAAGAAACAATAACCAGCAAAAGGCTGACGAAATAAAAAGCACGAAAGAAATAATTCAAGGGTGAGGGAAGAGGGGAAAGGAGAGTGCGCTCAGTAACTTTGAAGGGCCACTAGCAACATTTTACTTTGGCATACCTTACTAGCATCATTCTTTCGCTTCCTCCCTTTTACCACTGCACATAGATATATAATAGCTTGAACAGATTAAACCAATAACAAGATTAATTATTTCTTGGGAAACTGAAAAATATAAGCATCGCCTACACTCCAATATTGTACAGTTCAATTTTTCGGGATTTTTGCTGATGCTTGTAGAATGTAGAAAGGGTTATAAGAGCGACAAGATTAGACAATTCTTTAATCCAAATTCTGAAGTTCTCACGTTCTCTGAATGTAAGGAACCTGGACACAACTAACTATAGTATGTCCATGAACACTCTACAGTAGAAGATACAGAACTAGAAGTCTAGAATAGCCCTAATATTAGGATTTATAGATTGAACCTAGAAATGGTCCTTTTCCAGTTAAGATCCTAAATGCTAAACCCTTACTGTATAGATGTCCTTTCCAGTCACATCACAATCATCATAGTTATTGCTTCATCTTGGTTGGACTAATACCTTGAACTAACCACGCAATATAAATGCCAAGATATCATCAGACATTAGGTTCAATAATCTTCGCATGCACAAACTAGCACTCCATGTTTAAATTAATAATTTTACTATTTCTATCTGCAAATTCTTTTACAAGTTCTGATGTTCTCTCTCTCCCTTCCTCCCTGTATGAGAAACAAACCTTCTATTGATTTAGAAAAAAAATTAACCTACATTCCACCATATGGAGCTCATAAAATTGCATCCCAATTGAAATTAATAGCAAAAGTACAATTAGAGACGTCACTAAAGTAGGGGACACTATGAAAAGCAGAGAAGCTTCCCACAGTTCTTTTTGTTTAAAAATCCAAGTGACCAGTCTTTGTTCCCTTCTAACCAGATACATTAAATGACCAGGCTTTGTTACCTTCTAACCATATACAATACACTACATAAAGCATTTATGTTCTGCTGAGATGAAGAGCCAGCCACCCAGGATAATTGGAGGTTGAATAAATTTCCAAAATTTCCATTTCCATCTCTCCGGTGCACTGTTTTTAGTTCCAATATCCTAAATTGAAGGTAACCTACACTTAAGTTTAAATAATACGCAGCAATGCAAATGTTATTAATTAAACAAACCAACAATTACCATTCTTGGGTTTAATCTGGGATGCTCGAGCTGCCTTTTTGTCAGTCCCTCGCTTCTCATTGAGTTCCAGCTGTTTCTGCACATTCTCTTCAGTAAACTTCAGTAATCGATCAAGTCCTACCCACTCATCCCAACTGTTCCATAAGATAAATGAGGAAATAAAAGATCTATAGTCAAGTAGTAAAGTAAATGCATGCACAGAAAACATTTTAATATACCACTCGTCCCAACTGTTACATAAAAATAAACGAGGAAATAAAAGATCTATAGTCCAAGTAATAAAGTAAAGGCACGCACAGAACAAGGACGCCCAACATTTTCATAAACTTATACCTAAAGTACGTACCTGTCTTCCTTGCAGAAGGAAATATAATTGATGAGTAAAGATAACAAAGATTCAAATAAAAGATTGCAGAACAAACGAATATTGGAGTAACACCATAGACAAAGAAAATAAGGAAATCTCTTTTCTCCTCTTGTTTGGGTTGTGAATGTCTTTTGAAGGCTTCTCATCGAACATCTTCAAGTAGTGTCCTCAAAGGCATCCAAGCAAGTGGTAGCGAATCAATCTTAATCATCTCCAAGATGCAGATTGATACTTGTCTTGGGTGCTTAGATTAACAGGAGATTGGTAGTATATCCTAGGTGTTTGGAAGATTTTGGTAGGTGGTGGGAAAATTAGCTTGTGGAAGATTACTTAAGTAGGCACTAGCATTGACGTGAAGGAAATCTTTTATAAGCGGAAAGAATGGCGTGCTTTTCTGAAAGTACCTCAGTGCCCGTATGCACTGAGGCAGTAACCTTATCTCTCGAGACCAATGATTAGAAAGATCCCTAGAAGACTGAAGAAGCACTAGAATGCTATTTCCTTTGAAGGTGGGGAACATCTATCATCCAACCCATTTTGTCTTATATGCTCATAATATATGTTGTCTCTTCTCCAAATACCAAATAAAGTGGCCAATATTCTTGAATACAAAGGAGAAACTTTCTCCGAGTTGGAGAAGGGATTCTGTTGGCCACTTGAGAGGGTGGAAGAAAGTCTATTTCACAAAGAAGATGGTGGCCTGCACATCACAACCTTAAAGGCAGTATCTCAAGCAAATAAAATGTGTTTCGATCTCCAAGTACGTTTGGTGTTTTATCCATGAAACTGACTCTCAAGGGCATTTTAGTATCTCAATCAAATAGAGGGCGGAAGTGGGGGGTTATTTACAGCTAATAGTCATAGGTTAAAAAGTACTAGTGCCTAGAAGTTTAGGGTCCATCGTAAAACACTTTCTGACCAGACTCTTTCAAACAGAATAACAAGTGACCTTAATACCAGCTTCTCGGAACAATTCAAGATTTGGTCATTCCTAGAATCTTCAACGCAGTATGTTTTAAAAATGTCATGCTTGTGTGAATATTGGTGTTGTCCTAATGGAAATTTGAAGATGGCTTTAGCTAGACCCTTCGAATAGAGAGAATTTTCCAATCTGACTTGTTTACCAGTGATGCAAACAGGCCCAGTCAACAAAGAGACGAGCTTGTCTGCCCGTTAGACAAGTCTTAAGGATTTTTTTTTTTGCGGGGTTCTCTCGAAGCTTATACAGATTCCTGTTATGCCTAAGTTTTTTGTTTTGGGTGGGATTTTTTCTTTAAATAATTGAAAGTTCTGATGCCTTTTTCACCTTCAAGTATTTATTTTTTCAAGGTCAAAAGATAAACAAAATCAACAATTATGCATTTAGATTATGCATTCACATTGATCTCAACACAAACTTTGAAGGCATTTCAGCACTGAATTAATGATATCCCTGCTGCAAGCAACATTGACTCCCTCCAATCTACCTCTAAAGTAGAACCAACAAACCAAAAGCCTGAAGTAGATTTAGTGGGATGCCTAGCAACAAAAGCAAGAAAACACATAAAGAACAAGAAATTTATATACTGAAAAGGAGATAATCTAAAATATCAACGCAGTTTCCATGTATGAAAAAACCTAACAGGTATTTAAGCAGTAGATTAGGAGGGCCAGGAGTGAGCGAGAAGAGGAGAGTGGTCACTCGACAACATATATAAAGAAAACAACAGGCATAGAACAAATATTCTGTCCCATAAACCATCAGATTAGATATGGGAACTGTCTCGGTCATTGATTAAATCAAAAGGAGGACTCACTCACGTTTTGCTCCATCCCTGCAAAACAAAGAACATGGTCTCAAGATTCCCCCTTCATGCACAATACCCCTTCCCAGAAGAGAGACAAGACACACACACACACACACACACACACACACACTCAAGAGGCACACAAGCATATTCTACTTACAAGGTAATGAACATAACATCTCCATTCTTTCAACTGATATTCTGTTTTCAGCACCTATCAAAAACACAGACACCTATAAGTAAGAAGACAAATATGCTAGATTCTATAAGTTTCGCAGTAATAACCAATTTATTTAATGCGCCTAGAAAGGCTTTATGACATCCCAATCAAAAATAGGATCATAAAACGGGCCCCCAACGAAAATCATCTGAATACAATCCTTCAGAGAGGGTACGATCAAGTATTCAATGAACAATGTGGGGGGAGGGGGTCCATAAAAAGCATTCAAGCCAGGATTGGATGGTTGAATTTAGAGTATGGTAGCCTGGCAGGGCTAGGAATGAAATTCAAGATGAGGATTAGTTCATCACAATTGATGCATACTACATATTATAAAAAAAAAGATTGAAGTAGTGTAGCAAACTCGATGTTCTAGACCACCAAAATACAAATGTCATAACTTGCAAAGATTCATTCTTGAAACACAATTGAGGGTTGATTATTACAAAAAAAATGTGAATCAAGTGGTTCGAAATCAAATCTTGCTAATTTCTTTTCGTTTAGCTGGCAACTCAAAATGCGTCCTCACATTGTGATCATCCTTTGTTGTTTAACAGGGGTTTGAAGTAAGTAAAAATCAGCCTACTTCTTCCACTAAACTAGAGAAGCACGTTTCAGCCAGAAAGCAAAAAAACAAAAAAAGAAAAAAAGAAAAAAGAAAATAAAATTACACTACGACTCCAGAAGGGGGGTGAAAAGAGATGGAACCTTAGCTTCATATATGAGAAAGCTATGAAAAGCGAGGACCTTCTCTCCTTCGGAGAAAGGACAGGGATGGGAAGGCGGGCTGTGGACTCCATTTTCGTCGTCGTCGTCTTCAGAGTCATTCTTGGATGTGGTGTCGGCGGAATCGGAAGCAACCCGACTATCAGGGCTTCCCATTTGGATAGCTACTTTGTTGAATGGTTAGTTGAGAATCGAGTTGGGTTCCAGTTAAGGACGAGAAGAAGAAGCAAGGAGGACTCCTACAACTACTGCTGCTGGGGTTTCCTCCGTTTTGGAATGGAATGGAAAGGAATGCTGGGGGGAGGGGTTTTAATCGCACTAATTGGGCTTTTCTTCGTCTTCCTACGTACTATCCACTATCTTAGCCTGGCAAGCTCTTATTATGTACACCTTTTTATTATATTAAAAAATGAATTAATTAAAATTGCTATTCTAATCTATTCTATTCGGAAAAAACAATCAATTAAGGTTAATTAAGGTAAGATTGCACGACGTATCCAAGTGGATACAAAAGTTCATGCTCTGTCTGTGAAGCACATACATATCCAAATGCTTCTCTTTTCAAATACAGAACATTGTACTAACTATCCATGAAATTGGTTTTAAGAAGACCACCTCGGACATACCTGGTTGTCGCAAGATGAGTGGTACTAGAATATATGGGCGTGGGCCGAAACGAAATTGAACACCAGCGTCATCTGGTCCAGAGGAGTTATCTACAGCCCAAACATTCCCATCTGATTCCCAATGCTGCCTTATCCAATATGTATACTATTAGTCTCATACGTTCAAGAAAACGGAAAGTAACGTCCTCACAGACCATGAGGCTAAGCCAATGGTCAACAAAACTAACTTGCGAGTAATTAATCTAATCTCATCTCATCTCATCATCTCCACATTAGAACGTAGCTGGGTAGCAAACCCGACCAGGACTAATAAGAATAATAATAATATTATTATGTAGATTCCATGAAAAAGGAAGGCAGCGCAAAAGAGGGAAGGCATGGCTGTTGGGTGATGGGTATGGCTATTGTGAGATCTCATTGTATTCTCTTATTTTTCCAAAAGGCAACTCAGCTCTTTGTCTTATGCTATTTGTCTGGGAGCGAATGGGGCATTGGCAAACGCTTGTCTCAAAGCCCAACGCAAACCTGGGAAGGCAAGGCCACGCCCCTAATTTTACACCTGTCATCTCTTTTCTTGCCCTTCATCATTTTCTCCATCAATCACAGCTATTCCATTTATGGGCCATCTTCTTCCCATCTCATCTGCATCACAAACTCATCCGGACTTTCCATTTCTTTTTTTCATTTCTTCTTCATACATGAATAAACCAGATACAGAAGTTGGAAATTAATGTCATCTTATCTTATATCATAGAGTACACACATGAACATGATACACATCTAATTAACCCACAAAAAGAAAAAAGAAATCAAACAAACGAACCCCAGATCAAATCCAGAACAGATTGAATTGAAAGGGAAATTTCAATCGGGAAACTTGAAAAAAGGAAAATGGTTAAATGAGGACTGAGCATGGATGGAGCTCCCTTCATCTGCCTCTGCTGCCGAAATTCATCTTTTCGTAGTATCGAATTGAGAGAAGCGAGAGTGAGAGATGGACCTCATCCTTCCCCCACCGTGCTGGCGGCTTCGACCCAATCATCGCCGGAAACGGAGACCACGGCGACGAGGAGGAAGTGGACGAAGATGTGGAGGAGGAGGAGGAGGAGGAGGACTGGGGCTTGGTAAGAGGCCAGATGAAGAGCGAGTGAAGGCGGCGGAAGCCACCGAGGGCCAGAACTACAGATCGGAGTTGTTGATTGCCACATCCGGTGTTAGCCCAGTGCCTGGTGCAGATCAGCTCCCAAAGCCGTTCATCTTCGGCGGTTTTGTGCCATTGCTTGCTCACACAGGCCGCCATGGCCAGAGTCCTGGCATCCACATGCTTAAAAACCTCAAACAGCAAATTATCATCCAAATTCAGAAATCCAGTCTTGTCGGAGACGCCTCCTCCGTCACAGTCATGGGAAACCGCCCTGGGTTTCTTCTCCGTCTTCCGATCCCCTTTCCCCTCCGGAACAACTCGCTTCATCTCCAAATACGAGAGAAATCGAAAACCCTCTTAGCCCTTTACGAGTAACGAAAAGAAAACGTGAAGAAGAAAAGGGATCGAGGAAGAAGGAGAAGGTTTGAAGGGTTAGGAAGAGGACAAGATGAGAATTGAATGCACCTGGATGCGGATGTCTTTTCCCCAATTTCACCAACTCTCTCTTCGCCTTCTGTCTCCTTCTCATTATCACCATTTTCATGTTTGTTTTCACGGATACCCAACTCCTCAACCCCGATATACCACGCTTCCTATTCCTATTCCTATCCCTATCCCTATCCCTAACCCTCCCCCCCTGTTTGGATACACCTCCACCCAACCCTTCGCTTTTACTTGTTTTTTCTTTCTAAATTTTCCTTATATGATTCAAGATTGCAATACTAATCTAAATCCAAAACATTAGATGAGATTAATGGATCATGTAGATTGTCGTTGACTTTGGTACAAAATTACAAATTGGTCCTCCAACTATTTTTTAAGCCCACAAAATGAAATCTAAAATGGTTGGGAGGTGGGATTAAAGTTGCTTTTAATTACCGCTACCCATTCATATTCTATCCTGATTTTTGGTTTTTTGCCTCAAACATTCCAACCAATATTTTCCAGAATCGTTCCCAGAAATCATGTTTTTGGTTTTGTTTTTCTACTATAATCTCAGCCTTCCCAATTACAACGACAAAGACAAAAAGGATGCTGAATTACTTTGAGCTTAAATATACTTTGACCCATTGTCACTGTTAGTAGATGTTGTTATTTAGAGGCCTTGATGGGGGAGACCCATTGGTGTGGTAAAGGAGCCACAGAATTGAGATGATCTGAATCAGAAGGATGGACTTCATTGTCTATCTATCTATCTTGCCTTGAAATGGCGTTTGAAAGGAACATGCATTACGTACCATTCAGTAATCACCGCACACACATATCCATCTATCTATAAATATAGATAGATGGATGGATATATGCATAGGGGAATGAAAGATACTGAATATCTCCATCTCCGACTCTCCAACAGCCCACTTTACAACACACACAAATGAAACAAAACAAAATCAACGATCGCGAATTCCGGGAGAGTGGGCGGTGCAATCTGAATCCGTGATCCACAGGACAAATCCAGGAATGGGGTTTCACATTTTTTCGCTACTAATGTCAACTCAAAGTTGGTGGCCACCGTGGCAACCGCCGGATGCGGCGGCAAGGGCCGCTGTGCTTTTCCACCGTTCGGTCAATAAGGCAACCCGATCACGAGCGTTGCCAAAATCTCCTTTCCCCCATTTGGGTTATAATAAATTATACATGGTGGCACCCATTGAAACTTGTTTTAACGTTTGATCATGAAAAGTTAGTTACAGGTTTAATTAGAACAAAAGACACGAAATTTATGGTCTAAGGTTTGAAGACGTTGAACTATGGAGTATTGATTTATGGGGGGTTTGTCTCTTCAAATCTATATTATCAAGTTATTAACTTGGATAAGAGTAATTAGTGGAAGAAAGCTACTGTGTCCGGAAAGTAAGCTTTTTTGAGTTTCTTGTGTCTGCAAAAAGCAGAGCGTCGTGGTGGGGACGACGGTGAGGTAAAGGTAGTTGTCAAATCGACCAACCTCAATTGGAAGACATTAGCATATCAAATATAGGTCAAAAGTTTCATTTGAAGGAAGAGAAGTTCCATATTCTAAGCACAAAAAGGAGAGAGCTTTGAAACCACCCACCAATCACATCCAACCAGGTTGCCTCAGTATCCACTGGGTTACCAAAGTCAAAACTTGGCGTGGGGGTTGCACTGCAAATTTGTCCATTCCAAATCAAGAAAATTGCTTCAGTTTCGTTCCACAATTGAACGCAAGGCGTATCCTTTAATTTAACAAAAGTCAAATTCCCAACAGCAAGAAAGGGAAAGGGGAAAACGCCGTAATACCCATTCCCCCAATCGATGAACATTACCGACCTTGTCACGAGTATTTGAAAGCCTTAAATATTGGAAGGCAGCAGTGTCAAATAATCTCACGTTAACCGTCCAAATTCTTCACAATTCAAAATCAACTCACCCTTTACCTTACACACACACACACACACACACACATATATATATATATCCAAATTCGCTTACTGAGACTCACAAACTTAGGCAACTCTACGAGACATCAATGGCAATGGAAATGAGCGCCACGGCATCAGGCAAGCGTCTCTGTTTTGTTGTGGGTGTTCTGTTAGTGGTGGCGTCGGCCCATTTCCTAACGGTCGAGGGCAGAACCTTGAGATCAGTTTCAGAGAAGTTAGCTGATGGGAAGGAGAAAATGGGAGGTGTAGAGGCAATTGGAATGGCAGCTTTTAGGGACCAAGTTAATTCATTGAGTAGCAGCAGTCACAGTGAATTTAGGAGCTTGAGTTTCGTGTTGGCGTCTGGGCCTAGTAAAAAAGGTCCCGGGCATTGACCGTTTTTACCTTCTTCTTCTTCATTGTTTTATACAATTATACACAAAATTGAAACTTTTGTATCAGTTTTAGCGAGGGAGATCTTGTTTTTGCATTTATTCGTATTACAGAGTTGGGGTCATGAATAACGTAAGTTTCAATTCTTTTGTTTTCTTCTCGCAAAAAACATAGATCACGATCACGATTCCAATCGCATCAGACAAACGAACAAAGCTTTAAATTTGACCATTGGAATTGGACAGCGAAGAGTAGAAGAAATGGAGGAAGATTAGATTAGATTAGATTAGATTAGGGCTGAAATGGATGGATGCGGCGCCCTCCTGGATGGAGGCCTAAAAAGAAGATCCTGGCTTTGCTTCAACATGGAAACAAAGTGGAAATCGAGATTTTGTTTGACCACTTTTTATTGGTTTTGTTTATATTTGTATTTGGGTTTAGTTAATTAATATTGGAATTGGAATCCCGTGTTTTGTGTGTTAGTGTTTGATGACTTCAGATTAAAAGCATCACTTCTTTTGTTGTTAGTTTCGTATGTGCTTACATGAGCATTTGATTTGAATAAGGTTACTTCTTCTTTATAGTTTTCTCAAGCTGAACAGCCTTTTTTCCTTGCAATCACAGCAGCGTTTCCAAAATATGGTTTCAGCACACAAATTTACCCATGGATTACCTTCTATTTCAAATGCCCAAGATGGGGGAATGGAGGCATGTTCTTGCATTCTTTTCGAGATTTGTACAGGAAATATGAGACAAGGCGAGACTGTGAACCGGTGCTTACAATTCTGGAAGCACAGTCACCTACAACCGTGGTGATCAAATTCGTTGCCGAACACTCATCTCTATACGCCAGACGGGTCACACAGAAACATCCATAAATCTATGAGGGGTCGAGGTGATTCTATTTTGGGTACCTACACCAGAGGCAGAGCATGTACTCCCTGATTCTGGAGCTCATTCAGTCTCAACATACATCCTGTTCATATATATAAACCATGAGAAAAATTCATTCAACAAGCATTAACATGTACCGAAGCCAAACATTTTGACTGCCCCATATCAATCTCAAACCCAGTTCATTTGGTATAAGTTACCTATCCAGCCTATTTCGTTTAGCTAGAGAAAGGAAGTAAATGGATGGTAAAAATGAGTATGAATGTACTATACCGTAGATGGTTGGTAAACTTGTAGTGTAAGACGATGAAATTTGAGAAATCTGGTGGAAAATATCAGTACAAGCTAAAAAAACTGATGCCACACTGCACATCAAGAACTTGACCTTTTGGATTCAGAACTCATTTGATACAGATATACAAGTCCTCCAGTAGATCACCATACAGCACAATACAAATCCAAATAACTTCAGAAACATAAAATGAAAACTAGCAATGCATGACACCCATCAAGAGGAAGCATAGGCAAACAAATAGACACATCTGTATTTGATTAATTGAAAGAATAAATCAAACACTTCCCCAAGAATACTCAGTCTATACCCAATTGAAGTAAACTAATCTACAAAATTTAGTGAAGCATTACTGAACACAAGCACTACAGCACAGGGAACAATTCGTGGTCAACAAATTTAAAACATCAAAGGAATGCCCATGGTATCAAGATAACAAATGAGAAATAGTTTAGACATGGGATTATGAGACAAAAAAAAAAAAAAAAAATGGCAATAGAACCTTGCACAAACAGCTCAAATCGCGCAATCCCAAAGATGCATTTTTCACCAGGGGTTTGCCAAAGGGTTGCTGCAAGGAGCTTTAATCAATACGCAGGTTCAAAATCCATGACCAATTAAACATGAACATCAGACAACTTGCATTCTTCCAACATGAACTACGAGGTTCATGCATCAATGTAGTGACTTTAAATATACCACAATAGGAACAAAGGGTTGCAGCTATTTTCCAAGGGCACCTAGAAACAAAAGCCATTTAAATCTCTCTATTTTCTTACAATGCCTCGCAGCGGATTGTAATGTCAATGTACTACAACTAGAGGCCTACTTATAGAATCATAGTTGAGCACAATACAACCAGAGCAGGAGGAATGAAACAAAATATTATGCAAGGAAATTAAATATCAATGGAGAGGCCGGGATAATGAGTTAGCCACATTCTAATCAAAACATGCTCGGGAACAAAGATGATCAAGAACAAGTTTATGCCATGAAACCACAGCTTTAAATTGTAAAAATCATAAAATAAATAGAAAAGCACAACACGAGTCATGATAAAGGGGCGGGGGTCCTAGACTTTGAAATTCAAAGGTTATGTTTCTCATGTAAGTATCAGACATTCATAAGCAATACAAACAGATCTCCGTAAAAGCAACCCTCAAGAAGCAGTCTGAAAACCTAATTCACATTCTACGAGAACAAAACCCGGGAGAAATCAGGATTCTTGAACAGATGGGGTTTCCTCCTTATCGGTGGTGGTCGATACAACAGGAGCAGACGACCCGTTTTCAGCTGTAGAATCGGACGCAGCTCTGGCCTTGACAGTATCGAGAGTGCGCTTGCTGATCTCCCTAGAATAAAGCTGAAGGATCTCGATCCCGTCGTCGTCGGCGCTGGCTTTAGCAGCGGCGAAAGAATAGGCTTCCTCCTCTATAAGACGCGCTGCATCGGTGGCCTCATCATGGGGTACAGTGCCATAGCGCTTGGAGAGAACAGAGGGGTTGGAGAGCGTCTCGATGAGGCGTTTGATGACAGCGTCACGAGTGCGCTGCGAAGGCGGCCAAATACTAAACGAGGTGCTAAAAGACTTGGATGATTTGGGTGACTCCTTAGCCTGATCTCCT